ATCGATCCACGGTATGGACTACAAAGGCGGGATGTTAGCGACGTGGAACAAGTTTTGTTTCACGGGGGGGATGGTGTTGGCGAGTGTGTCGTTGCCGGGGCAGAATAATGTTTCTGGGCTTTGGGTGAGTTTTTTTTTTGAGTTTTGGTTTGTGCGTTTTTTGGGGGGGTTTTGAAGGAGGGGTTCGAAGGGAGGGAATGGGAGGGGAGAGGAAGCGAAGCGAGAAGGTGTTGGGTTGGGATCAGGATTCGGATTAGAAATGGGACGCTTACTATGGCTTTTTTGTTTTTTTTTTTCAGCCCTCGGTATGGACATTGGGTAATCTAGGAAGAGTCGGATACGGAGCTACATTAGAAGGAATGGTACGTCCCTCCCTCCCCTCTCTCCCTTCCCTCTCCCACCCCTCCTCATCCAATTCCCATTCCCATTCCCTTCCCACACACACAGTGGCCCTACAGCTACGACACCTGCGACGTCGGCGCGCTCGCCAACCAATCCCTACACTCCCAACCCCCCGCGGCGCACGAACAGGGTCCGTTTAAGAATGCGAGTATCTCGGGGTTGCCTGGGCAGAGGCTGTCGAGGTGTACGTGTGAGGGGGAGGAGCATCCTGGTCCGAGGCATGGGGACGGGTCGTTTGTGGGAAGGTCGGCGCCGGAGATTGATTTGTTTGAGGCGCAGGTGGATGGGGAGGGGGTGGAGGCGAGGGGGTGTGTGTCGCAGAGTGGGCAGTGGGCGGTGAGTGTTTTTTTTTTTTTTTGTGTGGTTTTGGGTGTTGGGTGTTTTCGGGCGATTTGGGGCGTTGGGTTGAGTGGGGTAACGGTAACGACGAAATCTCTGATGCGTTTTTGTTTTTTGGGATAGCCCTTCAACGATGCGTATCAATTCAAGAACGATAGTTCCGGAGTGGTGGTGAACGATCCGAGTATTACGATTGAGAATTCGTATACTGGAGGGCCGTTGCAGCAGGCTACGTCGTATGTTTCCGAGACGAGTGCGTAGCCCCGTAGCGTTTTATCTTCCTTTTGGAGAGGACGCGATTGACTTACTTATGTGGGCCTCCGCTTCTTCGTGGTTACTTAGATCAGAGGTGTTATCAACTCAACGAGGATTGTTTTTCTACGTATGGGATTGAGTATAAACCGGGGTATGAGGCTGATGGTGCTGTGAGTGTTTTTTCGCGAAAGTTTTGGGTATATACTCTTACACACGTATAGTACATCTCGTGGATATCGGATAACAAGCAAGCGTGGACGTTGAAAGCTGCGGGAGTGGGTGCGGATGGGACTACGCAGATTTCAGCGAGGCCTGTTGCGCAGGAGCCAATGGTAAGCCGCCAAGCTGCTGAGCTTCTCGAGTAAATGATTCAAAATTGGACTCACCTCCGGCAGTACCTGATCGCGAACCTGGGCATGTCGAGCGGCTTCAACTTTTTAGATTTCGACCATCTCGTGTTTCCGGCTGTGATGCGGATTGATTGGATTAGGGTATATCAGCCTGCGGGTTCTGTGAACGTTGGATGCGATCCGAAGGGGTATCCTACGATGGAGTATATTAAAAAGTGAGTGGTTTTCGGATTGAGGACTATCAAGCTGAGCTGAGGTTCCCCTACTAGTAATCTCCTCGCGTATAGCAATCCGAATTTAACGACATGGACACCTGGAAAGGCAGGCTATGGAAAGACGTTTCCGAAGAATAGCATGGTTGATAATTGCTAACTGCTTGGGTGTATAGATATATATTATGCTTTGCTTTGCGTTGCTGTCTGGTATATCATTATTTTTTGCTATGTATATACTTTGTACCAATAGATTTATTCGATGGAATGGGATAGAAGCCTCGAGAAGGCCGAAGAAGGATGGCAGATTTCCTAATTCGGAGCACGTGGCGGGGGCTGTTAATTTTTTTTTAACGGCCAACTTTTTTTTTGATCTTTACCCACTTCCTTTATACCTTTTCTTTTTTTTTCCTAATGGCCGTTGTCGGTGTTGACTTTGGCACGCTAGCGAGTAAAGTGAGTGAAAAGTGTCTCTGGATGAACTGGATAACTGATTCTTTGTTAGATCGGTGTTGCTAGACATCGAGGAATCGATATTATCACTAATGAAGTTTCTAATCGAGCTACACCGTATGTTCTACCTTGTTGCTTTCTTGGTCTATCTAATACCCTTTACAGCTCACTCGTTGCTTTTGGTCCCAAACAACGAGCTATCGGTGAATCAGCAAAGACTCAGGAAACGTCAAATTTTAAAAACACCATCGGTTCATTGAAGCGATTAGTTGGCAGAACCCTCAATGATCCAGATGTCCAGAACGTTGAGAAAAAGTTTATCAACGCTGCTTTGGTCGATGTACATGGAACCGTCGGCGTCGAGGTATGTCTCAACCCTTATCGATGAACTCTAATCGACTGACCCAAAAAAATTTTTTAAAAAAAGGTCAATTATCTCGGCGAAAGACAGTCCTTCTCAGCCACACAGCTCGTAGCCATGTATCTAGGTCGCATCCGCGACACAGCCAGCGCAGAGCTTAAAACCAACGTCTCCGATATCGTCATCGCCGTCCCAGGCTGGTTCACCGATATCCAACGACGTGCCATCCACGACGCCGCCTCCATCGCTGGCCTCAACGTCCTCCGACTCATCAACGACACCACCGCCTCCGCTCTCGGATACGGTATCACCAAATCCGACCTCCCAGAAGCCGACAGCCCCAAATACGTCGCCTTTGTCGACGTCGGCCACTCCTCCCTCAGCGTCTCCATCGTCGCCTTCTCCAAAGGCCAACTCATCGTCAAAGCCACCGCCTACGACCGCCATCTCGGCGGTCGCGACATCGACTACGCCCTCGTCCGACACTTTTCCAAAGAGTTTAAAGAAAAATACAAAATCGACGTCCTCTCCAACCCCAAAGCCACCTTCCGTCTCGCCGCCGCCGCCGAAAAGCTCAAAAAAGTCTTATCCGCCAACGCCGAAGCCCCCATCAACGTCGAGAGCATCATGAACGACATTGACGCCGCGTCCAAGTTGACCCGCGACCAGCTCGAGGAGCTCATTGCGGACGAGCTCTCCCGCATCGCTGCGCCTATCCAGCGCGCGATTGCCGATTCCGGTCTCACGATGGACGAGATCGAGGCTGTGGAGCTTATCGGTGGGTCGTCTAGGATCCCTGCTGTGCGTACGAGGATTGCAGAGTGTTTCCCTGGCAAGACCCTCTCGACGACGTTGAACCAGGACGAGGCTGTCGCGAGGGGTGCGACTTTTTCCTGCGCAATGCTTTCCCCCGTTTTCCGCGTCCGAGACTTTTCCGTTTCGGATGTGTCCCATTACCCGATCAAAGTCCAGTGGGCGCCGACGCCTTCTGATCCCGAGGAAGACACGGAGCTCGTCGTGTTTGGGCATGGAAACCCGATCCCGTCGACCAAGATCCTTTCGTTTTATAGGAAGGAGCCGTTCGATATTGAAGCTGTGTATGCGGAGCCTGAAAAGTTGCCTGGGGGGGTGAATCCGTGGATTGCAAAGTTTACGGCAAAGGAGATTCCGCAGGTTGGGCAGGAGGCGCAGGGGGATGCGACGCAGGTCAAGTTGAAGACGAGGTTGAATGCGAATGGGGTGTTGAGTTTTGAGGCGGCGTATGTTGAGACGAGGGAGGAGAAGGAGGAGGCTGCTGCGGCGGCTCCGGCGCCGGCGCCGATGGAAGGTGTGGAAGGGACGGATGGGGCGCCTGCGCCTGCGCCGCCCAAGAAAAAGGTTAAGGTGATCAAGCATGATATTCGGTTTGTGGTGGGGAATTCGGCGTTGGATAAGAGTATGATTGAGACGTTGAAGGAGCAGGAGAATTCTATGTGGGAGAATGATAAGCTCGTCAAGGATACTGAGGTTTGTGTCCCCTCCTCTCCGCCTAACAAAAAACGCGCTAACTTACTTGTCGTTGTAGGATCGTAAAAACGCGTTGGAAGAATACATCTACGACATGCGCTCTAAACTCGACGACCGCTACGCCGCATACGTCCAGCCCTCTGAAAAATCCGCCCTCCTCGCTCTCCTCTCCGAACAAGAAGACTGGCTCTACACCGAAGAAGGCGAAGAAGCCACCAAATCGACCTACATCTCCCGACTCGACGCGTGTAAAGCCCTCGGCGACCCGATCCACACCCGCTGGCGCGAGCACGAAGAGCGTCCGCGGGCCATCTCCGCCCTCCGCGAGACGCTGGACACGTACATGTCCCAAGCGACCTCTTCCGACGACAAGTACGCGCATATCGATGAGAAGGATAAGCAGAGTGTTGTGGAGAAGGTTGCGGTTACGAGGAAGTGGTTGGAGGATATGGAGGTGAGGCAGATGGAGAGGGAGAAGTGGAGGGATCCGGTGTTGGTTGTTGGGGAGGTGGGGAAGAGGAGGGATGAGGTGATTTATTTTGCGAGTCCGATTTTGGGAAGGCCGAAGCCGAAGCCGGTTGTGGTGCCTACGCCGACGGGGAGTGGGGCGCAGACGCCGAGGAATGAGGGGGAGGAGGAGAAGGGGAAGAAGGAGGAGGCTAAGGGGCCTAGTGAGATGGATGTTGATTAGGCAATGGGGTGGGGGTTGAATTAGAGTTTGGTTGTGGTTGTGTACATCCTTAGATCCTTTGAATTCGTTTGATGTTTTTTTTCTTGCTTCTGTTTTCCGTTACGACTTTTTTTGTTTTCTTGCCCCCAATGTCGACATCCCGAGAAGAAGTATATACTGACCCCCGTACTCTGACCGTAATACGTACATACATACAATGCATACGATTCTTGTTACTTACAGAAATCAAGTACTACTTTTGCCTTTTGCGTATTTTATCATGACGAACGACGAACGATGAACGATTAACGATTCATTGATTGATTTGGATCTCTATCATTGTCAACGTCGCCGTCGTAAATCTAAATGATTGGGTGAAGAAAAAAAAAACAAACTGCATCTGGGATGCATAAACATACACTGATAATGCTAAATGAAGGGCAAGTAGTAACTCCCTGGTAGTATATCGGTTAGTACACGCGCCTGTCATGCAATGGTTATAAATATATTCGTTGCTCGCGCGAAAGCTGGGTTCGACTCCCAGCCAGGGAGCTCTCGTGTACTCTTAGAGTCTTTTTTTTTTTTTTTTTTTGAGTTTTTTTTTCGCGTTCTTTTTGGGAAGGGGGGTGGGAGGAAAGACTCTCCAAGTGTGCCAACGACGCAACTGACTCTGAATTCGAAAATTGTTACTTATAGCCTGCTTCTTCTTACTTGTTGTGTCCTGTCGTTACATGTACACCCCCAATATTCGACCATTGGCGCTTCTCGCCAGCTTGCGCCTTACTATTATTAATTAATCGTAGCTGAATGATTCGATGATGATGTGTACAACATTATTCCCTGGTAGTATATCGGTTAGTACACGCGCCTGTCATTGCTATGTGTTTAAGTGGGTACAGCTGCGCGCGAAAGCTGGGTTCGACTCCCAGCCAGGGAGTGATCGCTTGGTTTTCCAGAACTCTTTCTTGAGTTTTTTTCTATTTTTTTTATTTGGGGGGAGGGGCAGTCCAAGTTTACCAACTGACTCTGAATTCGATAGTTGTTATAGGCTTGTTAACTTGAACAAGATATCTTTTCTTAAAAAAGTATGTTGATCTTGCTTGAGGTGTAGTTCTAGTTGAATTACCAATGAGAAAGGATAGGATAGTCTAATCCCAACATTGGTGCAAGTACGATGGGTATCAAATACTTCGTTGAGGTACTAGGGGGAGGTTTAATCAATTTAATGTTTTATCAAAATTGTTGGCGATGTCTTGAACATTTGGATAGAATGCTTATTTATAATTGGAAGGGTTGGGATGGGTTAGAGTAAATCCTTCTGGATCCTGTTGTTGCTCTTGAACTAGGGGCCTTCCCTCATTCCCGCTACTTTTAAGTAGTGGGTTTTAGAGGTGGACCTTTTCTGAAGTTGAAGTACGGCCAAAGCGTCCGATCGATCATTCTTGCCTCTTTTGGACTGCTTATGTCATGACACGGATTACATACTCCTCTCAAGGCAATCTAGCTAGCTGGCCTTCGTTCGTTTTTCTTATGTCTGGCTTAGCTTTTACTATCTCTTCATGCGTCGCTCAACTCGCGTCTTGCTCATTCTCTTTTTTCGCGCAATTTTGTCCGCAGGGCCTCCACGTGTAACCTTGGTCTCGAAATATAGAATGCTCTGTTTAATGTGCTGCAATGGCATTCAATGCATACAGTTCCTCTGACTTTTTGTTTGTGGCATTGCCCACTCGCTCTTGATGTTGTGCTTGGACAGGATTTTTATGATGCATGTGTCCAGTTGAATATGTCACATCTGCTGGAACACATCATGGTTTGTTCGGTTTTGCAAGCTGTCAAACCACCCCTTTTGCCACCCTTAGTTCCTTTTCCTGCAGGTGTGTAATGGACAAATTGGATTGCAACCCAATATATTTGCTATGGAACACAGGCGCATAGCAATGGCGGCAGTAGCAGTGTCTGAGAATACAGTGTGCCCTGATGTGCACATTTACCGGTATGATAGCCCAGATGTCTGCCTACTTTACATGCAAGTCTGTAGTGCCGGTTTCGTAACATTTGCTTGCCAATTTGAATTTTTGGACAGTTTCTTGCTTGGATGGTTTATGACGGACAGTGAACTCAGGGAACTGATGTTGCTTGAAGATAGAGAGTCATAAGGTAGATGCCATCCAAATCTGACCAACATCATGTGTACATTTTTGCATGCCTAATTTGGTGAAATTCACCTTGAAAAATCTCTCAAATATTCACAGCTTAATGTATTGTAAATTCCTTCCATGAATCTATTAAAATACTTTAGTTGTATATCCTCACCTAAGCTAAAGATCTGAAAATGTGAGCTGAAGATGGAGCTCTCGAAACATTGTTCAAATCTCATATTGGGAACTCCTCTCCAAGGAAAGAGTCTTACATCCAGCTACAAGCTCTTTGAGCCTTCAAAATATATTAAGAAGAGATTCATGGAAGGAATTTACAATACATCTAGCTGTGAATATTTGAGAGATTTTTCAAGGTGAATTTCACCAAATTAGGCATGCAAAAATGTACATGTGATGTTGTTGGATTTTGTTACATTCATGCCAACTCGCTTCCGATGTTTCCAACTCATTTCCAACAATTCCAATACTCCGGCTGATTTTTCCCATGCTGGGACTGACTCGGGACCAGTTCAGAATCGATATTCATATTCTCGGACTTGGTACACTTTCCGATGAGGTTTATCATATGATTTTTCTATTGTTTTTCCCTTTCCGCTGCTTTTTGTTCGATTTTACAATTATGATTGTCTTTCTGTTTCCATACCAATTGTCTAGTTACTGAAGTACAATTAGTATTGTTTCTATTAACAATTAGTATTGTCTTTTGGTTACTATGTAGTTTGGTATTTAAGCTGTATTAGTTTATGTTGTACATTAGTTTCAATATTGACTTGGTTTTTGTCCTGGTTTTAACTTGGTTTTTGGCTTGATTCTTGAGCTAACTACTGCTTCCTTTGCATAAACTACGTTCTACCGACTCAGACCTGATCTGATCCCGATCTGATCCGATCTGATGGGACCCTATCCGGCTCCGAAACACTATACTTGAGTCACTACTCAAGACTTGTTCATTGTCTTGACTTAACACTTTCAGGACACTAGACAATAGTGAGGGTGTTGGTCCATAACAGCACTGAACATCCATTTGCCTCCAATCCAGCTGACTTTCCGACCCTATTTCCAATCCAGCTGACTCAGAAATTCAATACCTAACAGATTTGGATGGTGTCTACCTTATATGGGCATTGCCCAAGTAGCGGGCTCTGCCGCCCGCCGGCGCTACTTTGTTATTCAATTTTATTACTTGTGAATCACAGCTCTGAGAGCTCCCTGGTGGTATATCGGTTAGTACACGCTGGTAGTACCTGTGACACAAGCTATAATATGTACCTATACGTACCTATCATGCTCTGTTGACTAATTGCTTATGGCCGCACAAGCTGAGTTGCTAAATTTTGCTTGAACTGGATTTTTCGCTCATGCAACGCGTCGGAATGTGTCACGTGGTATTTACGCTTCTTTCATTCAACCGTCACGATCGCTTTTCGATGTCCGACAGTGATACCATTCTCTGTAACCAATGTGGTGCCAACTTTGCCTATCGACCTCTACAATCTAACTTTAGTATCGAGTACGTTCGGTCTTTATTCGTCCCTAGTAAAATCGAAGCTTCCAGCATTCTCTCTATTGTGGCCGAAGCGGAACGCGACCTGCTCGCATACGACAAAGAAATACAAAGGCTGGAGGACACGACAAGGCAGCTAACTTCTCTCAGGGCGCGTCTCACACGGTTTCGCGATGAGCATAGGTCTTTACTTTCTCCGATTCGCAAACTTCCCGCGGAGGTCCTTGGAGAGATATTTAGTTTCGCTTGCCTCGAGTCGGGTTACGCACTCAAACTTACACGCTTCTTTGCCAAAGCTGTGACGATGAGCCTGTCTCAAGTCTGTTCGGCTTGGCGGAGTATTGTTGTATCCTCGCCGCGGTTGTGGTCTTCCTTATGGATTGACCTTTCACACGAACGATTTGGAGAAGAGATAGTTGGGAGATATTTGCAATGCTCAGCTCGTGCTCCATTGGAACTCTACATCACCACTAGTTCCGACACGAGCGAAATATCCCTCTCTCAGGCCGAAGAAATGCAATTGTACGACTCCCTCTCATATTATTTAGAGGAAGACGCTTGGAATTTGCTTGTCGTGCTGATGAAGACTCACAATCGATGGAAGGATGTCACAATCCGCCTCAGGTGGGATGATCTATGCTCAATTCCTGCAGAAACTCATATAAATGTGGATCTCATCGAATTTCCTTTACTGGAAACTTTGACACTGTGCTGGGATGAGGAATTCGATTCTTTACCGGATCAAGGGTTCATGCCCATGTTCGCTCGTGCACCAAAGCTTCGCCATCTCCACCTTTCTGATTATTTCCCGTGGTTTTCGTTCCCCTTTCACCAGCTCAAGTCCTTTGACACCATTGACCGATGCTCGACGTCCATTGTTGTTGACTTTCTCCGAAGATGTACTGACGTCCGTAGCTTTTCCATCATCCCAGGATTAAACCATCGCCATCACGTAGAGTTTGACAGTGTGTTACCGCAGGCAGTATCAAATGTTAATGCTCGAGCACTTTCCCTGCTCCCTGGAGATGATTGGATGGCTATAAACCTTCTGTCCCATCTCAGCGCAGACAAGCTTGAGGAATTAGTCATAGAAGGCAATGATACATGGAGGCACCCAGACAGCAGTGAATGGGACACCTGTTTGATCAAATTTGTCTCTCGGTCATGTTGTCCCTTGCAGAAACTGACGCTGCAGGGCATCGGGACAGCAAATGGTCTTCTAGATTTCTTATCCCATGTTCCGACTTTGACTTATCTCAAACTTATACTTGAATCAGAATGGAACAAGGGAGATATCTTTTTCGAAAGACTTACTGTAAAGTGTCTCCCAACATGCAATCCCAGCTACTGATACTGACTTTCCCATTTGATCCTAGAACGCGAGAACCCTTTTACCAAACCTCCAAAATTTTGACTTGGTTCTTTCGGGACCCAGCCATTTGAAAGATTGCATTCCTTCCGCATCTACGATGGTCGCAGCAGCTGAATCACGGTCTCTATTACGACTTAATTCCTCGACCAGCAGCTGTGGGACTGTGACGCCTTTGCAATCTTTTACTGTTATACTCAGGATTTTTGGACCCAGCTCCGCACTCTCGTCGCACGACCCCAATGTAGTCTTGGGATTCCCATTCCTTGATTCGGAGACAGAAACTAAAATAGGGACGTTGGTCAAAACTGGGATGAAGGTTAAAATAGGCATACGAAAGGCTTAGAAAGGTGATATGTACTTGCGGTGCCGTGTTTAATTTATATCTCCCTCGTGTTTAGGTATTGGGAAACTGGTTTCAATATTTATGGCGTATGCCTCTCTAGAGAATCGGTTCGTTGTCAGAACTCCCACGAGGGACTTACTATACTGTACAAAGTTAGTGGTATAGTTGCGTAAAAAAAAAAGGTAAAGCGAGAGAAGCGACGGGCGTTCAATGCACGAACTTCGAATTCAACACCTCCGAATCGCGATGCGACGGAGGACTCATCGAACCCTCTCCACCTAGCGTCTACTAAGCCTTCCGGTAGTTTTCAGTTGGATAAGAGTCACAATAACGTCGACTATTTTGGTGTCCTTTCTCAGGAGGCAGCTGGCACAACACGGAGAGTTCGAAAAGTTCTCAAACTTGGTAATTTTGAAGTTTAAGATGTCTACATGACATATTTGAAGTTTAAGCAGGATACACAAAGAACTGTAAAAGTTTTTCTATACCGACATTTTCGGTATCAACTCTAGTACATCGATAGTACTTGGGACACAGCCTCAGGTTAATCATGATGAGT